AGAAGATACAGTAAGAGAGATGAGTGGGTGGGGGAGGGTAAGGTAACAGAATGGATGGGGTCAGAAGGGGAGGGGGTCTGAAAGTAGTCAGAAGATACAGTAAGAGAGATGAGTGGGTTGGGGAGGGTAAGGTTACAGAATGGATGGGGTCAGAAGGGGAGGGGGTCAGAAGGGGAGGGGGTCTGAAAGTAGTCAGAAGATACAGTAAGAGAGATGAGTGGGTGGGGGAAGGTAAGGTAACAGAATGGATGGGGTCAGGAGGGGAGGGGGTCTGAAAATAGTCAGAAGATATGGTTAGAGAGATGAGTGGGTGGGGGAGGGTAAGGTAACAATGGATGGGGTCAGGAGGGGAGGGGGTCTGATAGTAGGACAGAGATTAGAGAGAAACCCAAAAATGCACTAGCAAGGGAGATACAGTGTCTGTGTGGGGGGGGGGGTTGAAATAATGTATTGATCGTGTAAGTCAGATGGAAATATTATCTCTCCGCAAACAAATTATAGAATAGGAGTTGTTCAGTAATGTGCTGTCTGGGTTTGGTTTTAACCAACAAGCACGGGAAAAAATTTGTTAGTTGGTAGCCCATCAAAACACCTTTTGTAACTTGGCCCAGTAAAAGTGTATTATCATTTGTAGATGTGCATAAAAGAAGGGATTTGTGATAAGATTATTATATTTCCTGAATCCCTGGAAAAGATGAAGTTAAGGGAGGGGGGTATCTCTAGTTTACAATCCATCATGACAGAAAAATGTTCTAGTGAAGTGATACTAAATAGTCAACAATAAAACAAAAAAAAACATTCACAGAGAAAGTTGTTATGCATTTGGTGGCTGGTCACTGTGTCAAATTATTCGCCCCTAAAGACACATTTGAACTCTTCCAATGCAAAGGATGGAATAGTTCATTATGAAATTTCAGGGGTGAATGACTTAATTATAAGCAGTTGTGATAATGTTTGGTTGAAGGAGGACGTGCATCAACTGGAGCTGGAAGAAAGAAGGCAGAACAAGTGGAGAAAATGGTGTCTAGTGACAGCTCCGACAGTGACAGGTATGACCCCAGTTATAGGTCAAAGATACCAACTATTTCAAAGGTCGCATTCGCATATCCCAATTCAAACGGTTCTGGTGGTGCAGAAATATTTCACAATAAACGAACGCACTTGAACTGAACTGTAGGCAGAGCTAAAAAGGCAATCTAGAAGAATTACTAATAATATACCAATAATAATGTGTCCTCCTTTCACGTGTCCACTAAATTATGAAATGTTTCTTAAAAGATACATACAGATTTACCTTGTTTTATAAAGAAATAACAGAAACAAGCGATAGTTAGCATTTCAATTTTGGTCAGGCACATTTTGCCAAATATTTCTGAGGTCAGCCTCAGTTCAGATATGCGGTTGTCATTTTCTTTCAGGTTCAACCTTTTTCAACTGGTTGAACTGGGCCAAAGTTAACATGGTTTTACCAATACCAGACCTTTAAATCTTAAAAGAGTTATATTTTTTTGGGAAAATATTATTAACATCTGCACATTAGTCCATACTATAAAGCCCTGAAATTTCATAATGAACCATTCTAACCTCTAAATTGGGAGGGTTTAAATGTGTCTTCAGGTGTGAATGGGTTAATTTGGTGAAAGGCTCCTTATTATAAACCATGAGGTATGTGGTAATGATGACTGTTGCTGTCAGCTTGTGGGGTGGTGAAAGGCTGTCCAATAAATGGTTTTGACCTGCACACAAGGTCACCAAGATAAATATGCATCAAAGACCTTTTCTTACGAACTACAATGCATAGAATGTTAAAGTTTGACCTACAGCTTGCGGGGTTAAAGGTCGTCTAATAGATGGTTTTGATCCACATTCAGGTATATGTTGTAGATTAACTAGATTAATCTGTATGTTAGGGTGATGTTGATTGGTCCATTTGTCACACTGATGTTAATTGGTCCTTATGTTACAATGATGTTGATTGGTCTGTATGTTACAATGATGTTGATCGGTCTGTATGTTACAATGATGTACAATGATGTAGATTGGTCTGTATGTTACAATGATGTTGATTGGTCTGTATGTTACAAGGATGTTAATTGGTCTGTATGTTACAATGATGTTAATTGGTCTATGTTACAATGATGTTGATTGGTTCGTATGTTACAACGATGTTGATTGGTTCGTATGTTACAATGTTGTAGATTGGTCTGTATGTTACAATGATGTAGATTGGTCTGTATGTTACAATGATGTAGATTGGTGTGTATGTTACAATGCTGTTGATTGGTGTGTATGTTACAATGATGTTGATTGGTCGGTATGTTACAATGATGTTGATTGGTCTGTATGTTACGATGATGTAGATTGGTCTGTATGTTACAATTATGTTGATTGGTGTGTATGTTACAACGATGTAGATTGGTCTGTATGTTACAATGTTGTAGATTGGTCTGTATGTTACAATGTTGTAGATTGGTCTGTATGTTACAATGTTGTAGATTGGTCTGTATTTTACAATGATGTAGATTGGTTCATATGTTACAATGATGTAGATTCGTCTGTATGTTACAATGATGTTGATCGGTCTGTATGTTACAATGATGTACAATGATGTAGATTGGTCTGTATAATACAATGATGTAGTTTGGTCTGTATGTTACAATGATGTTTATTGGTTCATATGTTACAATGATGTAGAATGGTCTGTATGTTACAATGATGTTGATCGGTCTGTATGTTACAATGATGTTGATCGGTCTGTATGTTACAATGATGTACAATGATGCAGATTGGTATGTATGTTACAATGATGTTGATTGGTTCGTATGTTACAATGTTGTAGATTGGTCTGTATTTTACAATGATGTAGATTGGTCTGTAAGTTACAATGATGTAGATTGGTCTGTATATTACAATGATGTAGTTTGGTCTGTATGTTACAATGATTTTAATTGGTCTATGTTACAATGATGTTGATTTGTTCGTATGTTACAACGATGTTGATTGGTTCGTATGTTACAATGTTGTAGATTGGTCTGTATGTTACAATAATGTAGATTGGTCTGTATGTTACAATGTTGTAGATTGGTCTGTATGTTACAATAATGTAGATTGGTCTGTATGTTACAATAATGTAGATTGGTCTGTATGTTACAAAGATGTTGATTGGTCTGTATGTTACAATGATGAAGATTGGTCTGTATGTTACAATGATGAAGATTGGTCTGTATGTTACAATGATGTTAATTGGTCTGTATGTTACAATGATTTTAATTGGTCTATGTTACAATGATGTTGATTGGTTCGTATGTTACAATGTTGTAGATTGGTCTGTATTTTACAATGATGTAGATTGGTCTGTATAATACAATGATGTAGTTTGGTCTGTATGTTACAATGATGTTAATTGGTCTGTATGTTACAATGATGTTTATTGGTTCATATGTTACAATGATGTAGATTCGTCTGTATGTTACAATGATGTTGATCGGTCTGTATGTTACAATGATGTACAATGATGTAGATTGGTCTGTATGTTACAATGATGTAGATTGGTGTGTATGTTACAATGATGTTGATTGGTGTGTATGTTACAATGATGTTGATTGGTCTGTATGTTACAGTGATGGTTCTGAGGATGGTGTCAGCAGTTGGAAGAAGAAAGATGCAGAGAGAAAAAAGGCAATGGAACTGAAGATAAAAGATGCGGAGGAAAAGTAAGTACACAGGGATTTACAGAACTGTTATACACGGCAAGTCCAAAGAATAAGACCAGACATTAAAGTTTAGTCATTAAAGATTTAGACCAGGCATTAAAGTTTAAACCAGGCATTAATGTTAATTCATTAAAAATGTAGACCAGGCATTAAAGTTTAGTCATTAAAGATTTAGACCAGGCAATCAAATGAAGGCATTAAAGATTTAGACCAGGCGTTAAAGTTAAGTCATTAAAGATTTAGACCAGACATTAAAGTTCAGTCATTAAAATTTTAGATCAGGCTTTAAAGTTTAATCATCAAAAGATTTAGACCAGGCATTAAAGATTTATACCAGGCATTAAAGTCTAGTCATTAAAGATTTAGACCAGGCATTAAAGATTTATACCAGGCATTAAAGTCTAGTCATTAAAGATTTAGACCAGGCTTTAAAGTTAAATCATCAAAGATTTAGACCAGGAAATCAAATGAAGGCATTAAAGATTTTTTAGACCAGGCATTAAAGTTTAGTCATTAAAGATTTAGACCAGGGATTAAAGTTTAATCAGTTTTGCCACATCATGAAATATACTGTGTTTGCTGTAGGCGGTTGAAGGAGGAGGCAGAAAGGATAAAGGTAATACACGAGGAGGTTGCCAAAGAGAGAGAGGAGGCAGAGGAGGCAAAGGAGGCAGAGGAGGCAAAGGAGGTGGAAGAGGACGTGAAACCAAAAAAGTCCTCACCAAAACGTCCGGCAAAACCAACACCTAAACGCAGGAGTAAAAAAGGCGAGGATGCGGAGGTAGGGCCAGCATTGTCGATTATGTTTGGTTACATTCGCGTATCCTGGTTGAAACGGTTCAGGTGGCACAGAAATATGCCACGATAAATGAAGGCACTTGGACCAAACTATAGGCAGAGGTAAAAAACGCATAGTTTTCGGAGAACTAATAATATATCAAGAATAATATGCCCTTCTTTACACGCGTCCATAAAACTATAACATATCTACATTTGGCTTTACCTTGTTTTATAAAGAAATAATGCAAACTAGCAATAGAAAGCATTTTAGTTTCAGTCAGACGCATCTGGACCCCTCAATCTACACGTGCCAAATATCCTGAGGTCAGCCTCGGTTCAGATCTGCTCCTGTTGTATTCTTTAGGGTTCAACTGTTTAACTCGTTGAACCGGATACGCGAAAGGGGCCTTGGGTTCATCTTCCTATTAAATGTATTTGACAGGTTTTTGGTGAATTTGCTTTTATACAAAATGTGGTTGGGGGTGGGTGGGGGGGAGCATATACTTATTACCCGTGTTTTTCCCATTTCAATTCATTGTCAGAACTCTTTCATCTTCATTGTTTATATTATTATTTTTTTACAAAAGGTCAAGTATGAGAACACCTCACTTCATTTTGTATTTCAGGGTTACAAGGTCAGTGTTGCTATTAATTTATAGGTTAGCCACTGGGCCTAGGGGTATTAATGTTTATCTAGTAAATTATGTTTTACTTCTTAACATGAATAATTGTATGATTTTTTCAAATTTGTGATCAATGTTTAATGCAAAAATAAATCATAATTTGAATAAAAATATAAAAATTTATTCATTCTTCAACCATTTGATATCTACTATTTACAGGTTAGCAAAAAAGACAAGAAGAAAGGAAGGACAAAAAAGACAAAGAAACTGGAGGATTCTGATCAAGAAAGTGACCATGAAGAGGAAGTAAAGAAAGAGTTGTCGGAGGATGAAGAGGAAAAGGAGGTGGATGTAGAGGAGAGAGAGAATTCAGAAGAGGAGGGAACAAAGGAGGAGAAAGTAGAAGTGAAGGAAGAAGTGGAGGGTGATGAACAAACAATTGTAGAAGATAGTAAAAAGGAGGAAGAGAGTGAGATAAAAACTAAGACAGAAAGTGATAGTGAAGAGAAGAAAATAAAGACTGAAAAAGAGAAGGATTCTAAAGGGTCCAAGTCAAATGATTCCAAATCTAAGGAAAAAAACGAACAGGTAATTAGGTCATAAAACAAAAGTTGTTTGTTTCCAGTTACCCTTCCTACCCTATTTTTTGGTGCCTTCCCAAATGTGGTTTTCAAGGGAGCTTTGTTAAAGTCAAGATCACTCTCCTATTTAAATCTAATTAAAAAAAATGAAAAAATACAATATTGAACAGACTGATATATTCTAAGGTTTTCTGACATGTAACAGGAAACAATGTACTAACTTTCATTTGACAGGATATTTTAAGTATCGTTTTATGTACAAATTATGATTATTAAATTAAATCAGGGTTATTTGGATAATGTTACTGACATCTTAGAAAAAAATATCAATGTTATAGAAAATCAAAATTAACAAGATATGTTACTTACAAATGTAAGATGCGCAAATTAGTAGGAGGGGATATAGTTAAACGTGAACACTTATATGAATTCTTTTAGTTGATGACACATTTAAACAAATTGTTTCACCAGAAGGTGGAACAGCCATTTTTGCTAGAACAGTGTTTTCTACTGTGGTTCTCCATCAGGTAAAGGGCATTCGTCAGAAATTATTCAGGAACTTATGAATTTAAATTTGATGTAAAGACATGATTGGTTCCAAATTAAAATGTTATTATTTAATCAGCCTGAAGACAAAAAACGGGAGGAGGAGAGGGAGGAAAAAGCAAGGGCTGAACGAGAGGCAGAGAGAAGGCGCCGCTTCGAGAAGGAGAAGGAACGAGTTAGGAAATTGTAAGTTTTGCCATAACTTTGAAAAATCTCCTAAGGGAAACATACCTTTTTTGGCTCCTGCCCTTTGTCAGTCGTGTTGAAGAAAAACTGTACGGGGAGGAAAACTGTACGGGGAGGAAAACTGTACAGTTTTACAATGCAGGAGCCTGAAAATTCTCAACATGTAACTTTCTATGAAATTTTGAAATTTTGGATTAAAACAGAACAGCAATGAAAAGTATGTTTTTAAACCACTAGTCAGTTAGGGTAGTAGTTTCCAACTGTGCTTGTCCTTGTGCAAATTCCACTAACCCAATATTAATTAACTAGATAAGTAATATGAAATTTTGACCAGTGAATCAGGCTAGCAGTTTTTAGGACCATTGGTCAAGCTGGAGATTTCTCTAGTCTCGGACAATCGGGCTACCCTTAATATCGAGCCCTGGCGAAGGAATGAGTTAGGATATGTAAGTGTGAGATACAGGCTCAGAAATAGGATGAGAATGCTCTCAGATACTTAATATTTACATTATAAATATTCTTGGTATTCTTCATATGTATTTGTAATCATTAGTTGTAGAAATGAACCTAAATTTACAGTACAACTCGGATAAGTTGAAGTCAAAGGTACCAATAAAAATATTTGATTTATCCAATGGTTCGACTCTACTGAGTTGTATAGTGTTGGAGCACTCGATTGACCTGAGATGTATTCCGTTAACTGTTAGAGTATCGTCAGACAAATGCGATCAGTAAACCATCGTGTAATCGTCCCACAGTAGAATAAATGCTAAAATTTCATAGCAGTTAAATGAATTTTCATTAGTGATAATAGTTTCAAACATCAACAAGTTACAAATGTAAATATATATTAGCGTTCTTGTTGTAAGTGCATCTGCAACATCATTTCTAACAATGTGCATTAGTACACACTCGTACAGAATAAGAAATAAGAAATGTAGTGTTGAAAAAATAACAAACTTGGGTTAAAGCTGACTTCATGCCATATTTATTCCATCATTTTCTCACCTTCTTTAATTACATCTCCAGCACACACGCAGGCATATGCACATAGGGAGATATTAGCCAGGTGGCATAGGACTAGGAGTTAGCGCCTGATAAGGCAGCTCCTGCGAATTCTTCAAAAATTGTATTGATTAATGTATATGCTAATTGTATCCATTGTATATGTATGTACTGTAAAGTGCTTTAGAGTGGAAAATATATGCTAGATAGGGCGCTATATATCAAATGCTGTTTATTATTATTAAATTTATTTTTTCTTAATTACCAATCTTCCTGGTAAGGTCAGGGGTATCAATTGTTACTATTAGACATGATAATATTATGTGGAGTTGTTGAATTTTAACTTCAGTAGTTTGTGATTGTATTTCTATTATGAATACTTTTCTATTTTCAGTAAAGAAAAGGAAGAAGAAAAGGAGCGGAAAAAGCGTGAAAAATATGAGCAAAAGAAAAAAGATAAAATCAATTGTGAGTCCTTACTACTGCTGTTTAACTAAGTACCAGTCCGAATGATTTGCTACAATCTAGAAGCCCACATGTTTGGGCGAAACCAGTAGACATACAATAAAGAAACCAACTTATCCTGAGCTTGTTGCGATTGAATATTGCCTTTTATCTAATATGTTAATTCAACATTTTCATTAAGACATGTTTTTTGATGGTTTGGTAAATATTCTATTAAACCTGAAATCTTTCCTGGTCCAAACCGCCTTTACACAGTACAGTTTTGTTGTATCATTTCTGTATAATGTTGTATTATGCTTCGCTGATAAATATTACTCTGGTCGAGTCGGGTGGTGCACACATTCACCTTTCACCAAGGCGACCAGGGTCTGATTCCCCGATCGGACCTGAAAAGGTATTTGTTTCACCTGCCCTACTATGTGGGTTTACACCGGGTACTCCAGTGTCCTCCCACATTAAGACTCCCAGCGCGCTAATATCCGGGCCAACAAGGGTGATTAGTATAAGTTGAAATGAGTTGTTTCACAAAGTGAATTGTGGTAAAATGAATCAAGTTTATATTTGATCTTCTCTATCTCTTTGCACTATTTGATGAAGTTGCCCTGTCAGACAGGATTTCTCCAGAGTGATGCAGTATGAATGGTGATCATTTATGTACATGCTACTCGAGTGTCTGTAGTGGAGTGGAGGCCCGTTAGTGAATCCATCCATACTGCATGAATCTGGGGGAAATCCAGCTTAAGGCCATGTAGTCACGAATCTGGGGGAAATCCAGCTTCAGGCCATCTACTCACGAATCTGGGGGAAATCCAGCTTCAGGCCATCTAGTCACGAATCTGGGGGAAATCCAGCTTCAGGCCATGTAGTCACAAATCTGGGGGAAATCCAGCTTCAGGCCATGTAGTCAATAATCTGGGGGAAATCCAGCTTCAGGCCATGTAGGCAAGAATCTGGGGGAAATCCAGCTTCAGGCCATGTAGTCACGAATATGGGGGAAATCCAGCTTCAGGCCATGTAGTCACGAGTCTGGGGGAAATCCAGCTTCAGGCCATGTAGTCACGAATATGGGGGAAATCCAGCTTCAGGCCATGTAGTCACGAATATGGGGGAAATCCAGCTTCAGGCCATGTAGTCACGAGTCTGGGGGAAATCCAGCTTCAGGCCATGTAGTCAAGAATCTGGGGGAAATCCAGCTTCAGGCCATGTAGTCATGATTCTGGGGGAAATCCAGCTTCAGGCCATGTAGTCAAGAATCTGGGGGAAATCCAGCTTCAGGCCATGTAGTCAATAATCTGGGGGAAATCCAGCTTCAGGCCATGTAGTCACGAGTCTGGGGGAAATCCAGCTTCAGGCCATGTAGTCACGAATCTGGGGGAAATCCAGCTTCCAGCCATGTAGTCACAAATCTGGGGGAAATCCAGCTTCAGGCCATGTAGTCACAAATCTTCTGTTACAAGGAAATAAAACAGAAGCAATGAATCAAAAAACACAATGAATATTGGCTTATAACAATCCAACACTGCCGATACTGAAATTTGCAGTCGTTCTCCTTAAAATAAAGCAAATGCTGGGAAGTGATGTTCTATAGCTTCGTTTCCATTATACAAAAACAGTTTTGGAATAAGATTAGCAAAAATATTAACAGTTTGATTTCTTCATAAAAATAGTGAAGACGATAAATAATACACTCTTTTATTTTCCATTTGATAAAAGATGGTTGATTGGTCTTTATGACCTTTTTCAGATCACAGCGTATTGTAGACCTTGTGAAAGAAACACAAAGCCAAGTTTTAATTATTTTAAGATGAAGTTTAAAGTGTCGTGGTTTGGTAAGTTGAAGTCTGTACCCTTGTCAACATAAATAGAAATATTTTTTTCTTTCAGTCATTCAAACAGAGACCAAACTAGTAGCCATGGACAAAGAGATCAAGAAATGCGTCCAGAAGGATTCGGCAGTAAGTTTTCCGTCGCTTTGCAATGTTACTTTTCTTTATTAATCTTTCCATCCCTAGGTAACTTCAGTAGACTACCAGGCATTGATCTGGGTGATCTGGGTGATGTGGGTGGTGATCTGGGTGATCTGGGTGGTGATCTGGGTGATCTGTGTGATCTGGGTGATCTGGGTGTGCCCTTTCTGGTCTACAGTGAAGAAAGGGTTATAATTCTATTGTTCTTTTATTTCTTAAATTACAATTTCTTTTCGTAACTGTATACTTGGGGCCCTCTGGCTGGGCAATTGTCAGTATAACAGGACTTGAAGGAGTGTCGTCAGTGTAACGGGATGGGGGTTGAGTGTCGTCAGTATAGCCTGATAGGATGTTGAGTGTCGTCGGTGTAATGTCATGTGACTGAGTGAATGTGTCGTCCTTATTCCGTCTTTGCTAATGCAGAGTTATCTTCTCTTGGGAGAAGGTATTGATTGTTACGTCATGGGTTTGTGTGAGAAAATTACGTAATTTTCTCAAAAATCGATGACGTTACTCTCACAAACAAGTGACGTAACAATCAATACCTGCTCCCAAGAGAAGATAACTCTGCAATACGCAAAGACGGAATAACATGAATGGATGGAGTGTGGTGAAAACGTGTCTGGGATATGATATCTCATTGAGATGGCACTTTGTATGATTTTCAATTTGGACATCACAAATCTTGCAGTAGATTTATCCCCATTATATTTACGTTTGCTATGCATCCTCCCAATGCAATGCATTGAGAAGGAAAATGTTGTTATGAGACTATAACAACATTTGCTATTGTGACATCATCAATCTCTATTGTGACGTCAATTTCATTGTTATCAACACTGAATTTGCTGTTCAAAAACTGTTCGAAATAACTAGTTAAAGCATAACTACTCGATCAAAATGTAAATTAAGTAATGAATATTTTAACAAATATTGTTATGGTCCTACAACACACATTTCTATTGCTGACAAACTTAAATAAATAGGTTAGTCATCAATAGCAATGTGTGTTATAGGACCATAACAACATTTGCTAAATTATTCATTACTTAATTAATACATAAAAGCTAAAACAACTGAAGACACAAAGATTTGAGGTAATTGTCCGAGCCCATGGGGGGAAATTTGGGAATGAGGGTTGTTTTAATTAGCATATTCTTAAAATTAACATGTATTTTGCTAATAAGTATTTGTTAATTTTGAACTTCGATTCAATTTTTTCACTGTTTTCCAGGATGTGGACAAATGCCTAGCCATTATGGACGATCTCAACACCCTTCCAGTCAACCAAGTGCTACTCAAGAAAAACCCAGACATCATGAAAACCATTAAAATGGTAAAAACTTGATGAAATCCCCACCTTGAACATATCTCGTAGTGTTTTCTTGGTCCATACACAGCTTCAATGTAACCACATTTTTTCTCTATATTAGACTTAAGTGTTGGAAATCAGCTGCATGGTCCATCGTCACCAGTCCTTCTTAAAAATATAACTGATGCATTAATAAGCAGTTACAGGCAATCTGACTTGGATTCCTGAAAGGAAGCACATGTTCTGTTTTCTTCATGGCTAGTAAACAAGTATAAGTTAGCTATCTGTTCGAAAAGAGATGAATTTACTCATTTTGATTACAAATTCCCTAAGGATATAATCGGTTCGTAACTCAAGTGTAAAATGTAGACAACGTAAAGCTTTCATTAGGAGTAATTATTCCCCCGCAACGAAGTTAGGGGGGGTATACTGGAATCACTTTGGATGTCTGTCTGCAGTCGCAGTAACTTGTCCGGAAAACTCCTCCTTAGGCCAAATAAAATTAATTACTTGGTTCTCAGGCCATTTTTTTTCAAAATAGATGCGGCAGGGTGGTAATTTTTTTTTCAATTTACATGGCAAAAAAGAGACGAGGGCGTTTTTTTTTATTGTGTAGTTTGTAAAACGTTCATTGTGGACATTACCTTGTCTTTTTATAGTTGTGTAGAGACTCGTCATAGAGCAAGCCTCCGAAAATCCCCCCACGATGTTCCAGACGAGAATCACGAACCCCCCATTCTTATTTGTACCGAAATGAGCGCCATGTACACAAGACTAATAAGTCATAATCATTTTAACGCTTGCCTGTATCTCAATCCTTACCTTTATTCAAACGTTTTCGGGACTTGGGTGACTAATAAGAAAAACGACATGCGGACCAATTTTCCGGATTTTTTTAAAGATGGCCGCCGGTGCATTCACGATTTTTTTTTTATTACTTTCACGATTAAATCGGCAATGCGCATGGTGCCATGAAATGCGCTCGGCCCCGAGAACCAAGTAATCAAATTGTTTTGGCCTTAGTTAACAGTTGCAGCCCTAGTAGTAAGGAACTCTTGTCTGTTTGTGTTGTAATAGAGTTGTCCTTTTATTAAAGTATTCAAGCCAATAACATGATAAATCTACTTTTCAATCCATCATTAACTGCTTTACTACTTACAATTACAAACTGCTTAACAAGATTTCAGTGATTGCCTATCACTAAAGGTATGGGTAATTTCCTGTGACTAAAGGTATGGGTAATTTCCTGTGACTAAAGGTATGGGTAATTTCCTGTGACTAAAGGTATGGGTAATTTCCTGTGACTAAGGTATGGGTAATTTCCTGTGACTAAAGGTATGGGTAATTTCCTGTGACTAAAGGTATGGGTAATTTCCTGTGACTAAAGGTATGGGTAATTTCCTGTGACTAAGGTATGGGTAATTTCCTGTGACTAAAGGTATGGGTAATTTCCTGTGACTAAAGGTATGGGTAATTTCCTGTGACTAAAGGTATGGGTAATTTCCTGTGACTAAGGTATGGGTAATTTCCTGTGACTAAAGGTATGGGTAATTTCCTGTGACTAAAGGTATGGGTAATTTCCTATGACTAAAGTTATGGGTAATTTCCTGTGACTAATGTTTGGAATGGGTAATTTCCTGTGTATTGGATCTTTATTGCGAATAAATTGTCACTTTCCCCAACACCACTGACATTTTAAATCCGAAAGACTATTTATTGGCCAGTTGACATAACCAACCAGTAAATGGCTGTTTTAAGAATTTTACTCACACTTGTATTAAATGTAAAAGTGATTGTTATATAATCTTGTTTTCATGCTTTTTCTCAATTGTCTCAGTGACACTGAAGCATTCTGTTATGCAGAGCACAAAATTTTAGATATGCTTTATGAAATGGATATGTAATAACATCGAAAGAGCAACTACCAAGAATTGACATGTCAGTTAACACCTTGACTTCAAACATCACAATGTATGAGAAAACCTTTCACATTTAGTGTATCATAGACAAGTACAGCTTCAGCTTATCTATATTTTATTTTCGCGAAACACTTTAAAGAACAGAATAGTGTAGAGAAGATCTATTTTCTCCTGTATTGGAAACTGAATTTATCTTATATCTTTCCTTTTTCTTTTTCTGCAGATTAGAAAATTTAAAGGTAGTGACAGAATTCGAAAAAAAGCGGAACTTATTTATCACAAATTTAAGGGCTTCTTCCTGGCTGGAGATATTGACATAGGAACTCCGGTAAGTAATGATCTTCAGATTAACTTTATAATTATGCAAGTACTCAGGTAAGTTCATCCTCGATACTCTAGGGGTCAAGGTCACTTTCACTCTCTTCACCCCTGGAATATGTCGTAGCAAAGTTTAAGGCACGTGGCTAGCTATTTGTTTGGTGTCCGGTAAAAAACCCACTGACCAATCTGTAGGCTGATACCTGTACTTCGAAGATAACAGAGGAGCGACCCCAGACTTCAAAGCCAGTCAACTTTACCATCGCACGACAGACAGGGTCTTTTGATGTACATCAAAATTGTCAAACTAGTCTTCTTGTCTCATCCACAAGGTGGTACACACTGAGCCTTTGATTTTGATATGACATATTCCAGGGGTGCAGAGAACGAAAGTGTGCGTAACCCCCAGAGTATCGAGGATTGAGTAAGTGATGAACCTCGTACCTCAGTGCATCTATTGATGTAAACGGGGGAGAACTAACACTACAGGCCATTACAGGTTTTCATAATTTTGTCCACGGACAAAACAAGCTTCTCGATAGGGAAATAAGTGTAAGCTGTATTTCACGCTAATTCCTGAATACTCCACAAAAATAGAAGCAGTGATATATATATATACAACAGGTCACGCCATTACACCTGTCTTTCACATCTGTCATAAAATACCTGCGCATGCCCAGGTAAATGTAATTTGATGCACTTTCCTTAACCCGCGAAATGCAAAATACAGAATCATATACTTACCATTTCTGTTATATACTTAATTATACTGACCACATGGAGCGTAATGTAACTAAAGTGTAGATAAATGACAAGTGGTACAGGATTAGGTTATATATCTTGGGGTGTAAACTCTACTTATGATAGTTACAGGAATGTTTTTAGACTTTTAAATACTCACATTGTGCCATCTCGTTATTTTGTCCCAGACGACGCCAAAGGACTCCGGACACAGACGACATCACCATAAACAAGCAGAGGTGATGAAAGAATGTGAAAACAAGGAAAATGAAATTTCCCAACCTACAGGTAGGCTGTACAATGTTCTGGTCAGAGACAGACTTGTATAAGAAAATAAGAGGAAAAATGGTAGATGGAAAATGTTTCAATTTTGCCAATGCTATCATTAGACTGCAATAAATTCAAAGAAAAGGAAGTGGAACGAAATTTTTTGATAGATGTTTTAACTTAAATCAGAAAAAAAGATACAGTATCTGATATAATAGTAAGTGGGTACCACAGTATAGCATTATATGGGGAGGAGTAGTACCCTCCTAGAAGGGCCATAAAAGGATAGGTTTACTATAATGTTATGTATCCTCAAGTAATATTTCTGATGTTGTTTACACAGATAACACTGACCATAGCGACTCTTTGTCAGCCCTCCCTACTATCAGCCCCACAGAGGGTGACAAAGTCCCCGCTGTGGACGGGGACTCCGAGCCAGTCGACGGCACAGCAGATCTCAATAACAGGCTTAGTGATAACGGAATAGGGGAGACAATTCCAAGTGTGTCGGTACCCCCCTCTAGTGACAGTCAAAATAAAAGTCCTATACAGACGAACAATACAGTGGAAGAGCCATCATTAGATGGTGGAGGGGGGCAAACGAATCAGCCAGTAATACAGGGTGATGCTGTAGGAGGGAGTGAAACAGAAGAGCAGGCCCAACAAGGTCTAGGTTTTACTGTTGGACTAGGAGAATCAAACCAGTCAACATTTTCATTTGGTTGGGGTAGTTCGGATCAGAAAATTCCAGGATTAGGTGGACCCATAGTTGTAACTAGATCAGACTCACAAACAATACCAGGAGTATCTGGTGGTGGGAAGTCCACGGAACAGCCAACATTGCCTGGCTTATCCGATAATAACAATAGTGCTCCCAGTGTCAATAATCTCAGTGCAGACTTAGAAAAAATCAGTAGTGTTCTCGACAAAATGGACGCGATGGATGAGGAGGAGGATGACAATCAATCAGCGGAGAAGGTGGAGGGTAACACGCAGAAGGACAAGTTGGTTCTGCCCGGGGTGGAGAGCATTTCTGGGGACAGTGGGGATGATATGGAAATTGATTCGCCCGACGACGGGGTAGCAGACAAGGGAGATAAATCTGAGGGCGGTAGTCAGTCGGATGATCTCTCTCATTCCATGCAGCAAGCAGCCCAGGAAGCGGCCAAGTATTCGGCCCAGGCAGAGTTCCCCGATGACACCGAAGACATGATGGAAGATCAGGTATGTGTCATTTTAGGGGTAACTGAAAAATTGTTGTGATACCCTAGGGGTGTTGTGATACACCTGTAGTGTATCGGGATATAGTGCAATACAAAAGGAACGTAGTACTATATGTATCATGATATAGTTTCATGGGAAACAGTGTCAAATTTCTGAAAATGTTCTCAAGTTCCAGAAGAATGTGGTGACAAAGTGCTGTTTAAACTGAGGCAGAGATACAATTCATACAGAAAATTTGAATGTTTAAATATAAAGAAATAGACAAAGAAAAAAAACCTGGAGTCAAACCAAGTACCATCATATGGTTAGGCCTGCACATTACCAACTTTGCCTGCCAGGAATTACAAATTTTAATTTTAAGCAATGTTCATCATCTAAATCCCTTTGGCATACAAGCAATTTTCATATCACAATGTATTGAAGAATTTATGGAAATATTGAAGTAAACAGTGAAACTTCCTTAAATCAAACATCAAAGATTCAAATTTCTCAATGTGTCAACCTTACAGCTAGGTCAGGATATTTTTCAGACATGTAACAGGAATTTAATGTTTGTTTGGCCTAATTTGGTATGGAACTTGTAGCCTTTATTATTTTGTGTTTAATGTAAATCTTTTACCAATGTTTAAAGAATTTGAACCTGTTACTATTGACCTTTTGACCTGTGATTTATGAACAATGACCTGTTGACTTTTGAATGATAACTTGTGACTTTGATCTATGACCTGTTACAAACTATGACCTGTGTTTATGAACTATGACTTTTGGATTATGAACTGTAAACCTATTACCTAAGAACTATGACCTGTGACCTATAAATTATAACCTGGGTCTTGTTACTTATGACTCCTGAACTATGACCTGTGATATCTGTTACAGGAAAGGATAGATCTTGATGCAAGGATAGCGGCAATTATCAAAGGCACAGAGACTTTCTCCGCACAGTCTGTGTACGATCCCTCGCAGGCGCCGTTTGAATCTGGATATCCGCCTCCAGCAAAAACAAACAAAGAAAAGGAAGAGGAGGAAAAACCAGTAGAGACCAAAGAAACGGAGGAAGAAGCTGCAGAGGAGAAAGAAGAGTCGGAATCTGAATCGGATCCAGCTATGGACGATGATGAACTGCACAGTCTGTTAGGGGTTTAGTGAAATGACACTTGTAATAAATTCTTTTGTGCTGGCAATTTTTTATTTCTCTGGATGTACATGTGATGTCTGGGAGCCTGACGAATCTTTTACGGTGTGACGCTGATGACACTGTGCCAAGTGTGAACCAATGATCATGTGATTGGACGGCAGAATATTGTTACATAGTATGCCATGGAAAATTGTGTTCTTGGAGTATTTATGCTTCTTATTTTCAATCTTGACATTAAGTATTGTAATTCTGTGAACATCTCAGAAAACAATATTTTTTCTTGAGCATCAACAAACTGGATACAATTTTAATGAATGACTACAACATTTGGTATTGTGATAATTGTAGGGGATGGTAACACAGAAGTTTCATGGGAACAACTTGTGTTGTTCAATGTTGGACTCAATTTTAAACGTGGAATCATTCACTGTGAGAAAATCTACCATGGGTTGAATTCTGCAGACAGTTCATTTTTAAAATCCTAGATAATGGTCAAGTCATCGTCATTAGATTATCATCAAACTGAAGGATGCAGTACAAAGTGTGACCTTAAGTCATCAAATTTTGTGAAAAAGAGAATAATATAAAAATAGGAAAAAAGACCTTTTTAAATCTTTATCATCTTCAAATTCATCAACTTCATCAAATGCATAATTACCAAGTAGACTGAAGATCATGACCATTAAAACAGTGAACATGTCATTAAATGTTGATCATTGAAGATCATGACCATTAAAACAGTTTAATGTCATTAAATGTTGATCGTTGAAGATCATGGCCATTAAAACAGTGAATATGTCATTAAATGTTGATCGTTTATAGCATTTCATTAGATTGAGCTTTCCATCCATCAGAAAATCACAGCTCTTTACATAGCAGTCCTGTGCCAAATTAACCCTTTCACCACTGTAGACCATAATGGACTCATTGATATCAGTACATGGTAGAGTCTACTGAAGTTACAACGGGTTAACGGGGTACTGGACAATTGTATTTTAGTGAATTTTCCTGACATCAATTATAATGCCAGTATATATATTTGCACCATGTACCAGTAAGAGAATATTTTTTATGTTTTCCCAAAGTTTTAAGTTATTTTCATTGAGCATTTTTCAAAATGCAACATTATTCTAAGGAAATAACTTTTGTTGAGGCTTTTTTTATCTTTATTTTACAAAAAATTATAGCAAAAATTTAATTCCTATACATATGTATTAACTTTTCATATCTTAAAAAAAGGGATAAATATTAAAACATTACGAGAAACAAGTCGGACAATTTTATTTCATGGTGCAGTTATTTGTTTTGGTAGCATAACAATTGACTTCAGGAAAATTCACAGAAAAAAACCCGTAAAAATGCATGAAATCCAGAAGGAAAAAATGCTTTCGACCTTTAATTTGGTTTAAGAGCGTAAAATAAAACCTGAATGTACCAACATTTATGGAGATTGTTTGGTCGTTAACCCTTTCACCACTGTAGACCATAATGGACTCATCCAGATCAATGCATGGTAGAGTCTACTAAAGTTACATAGGGGTGAAAGGGTTGAGGCTTACTTCGAAAATAAGCCTGGAATTTCTAACTGAAAATGAAAATAAGCCGCGCTTTTTAGTAATCGAAATGTTTGGGTATACATTACAAGATGTTGGTAAAGTCTGGTATAACTCAACGGTGACTTAACCCTTTCACCCCTAGGTAACTTTAGTAGACTCTACCATACATTCATCTGGATGAGTCTATTATGGTCTACAGTGGTGAAAGGGTTAAAGTGTTCTGAAGTTTTGTGCATGAAAATACTGTTTAACAGGAAATATTTACTTGTGTTTTTGTAATTTGTAAATTCTGAAAAACCACAAATAAAAGATACAAGATAAAAGAATCTTTATTTAGTGTCAAATATGGTTTAACAGGAACTGATGCTCTTAGGAGATTGTATTTCAATAAACGAAAAATGAAGCTGCAATCATGCAAGCTCCTAACCCATTCACCCCTAAAGACACATTTGAACTCTTCCAATTCAAAGGTAGGAATAGTTCATTATGAAATTTCAGGGGTGAATGTGTTAAAACTATAAACTGACAACTAAGTCATACACAGCATTACACCACTCTCAACAGTTTTTGAAAATGAGGGACATTTTGATGATTTTTTTCCCTGAAAAATTGGGGTCATGACTCAAATTCTGCTTTTCAAAAATCACTGATTTCTCATTTCTCTTGTCTGCATTGCACCACAATGTATAAATATTGGGGGAGTTAAGATGAACAGGTAAGATTTCAAGGGGAATATTCCTTGTTATACAGTATTGCTGATCTTAGGGACTGTTTCAGTGCTCAACATTACTCATTAGCATACTGCGACTTGTAAAATTTACTGATGTTTTGTGAAATTTTACATCTTTGAAGAAATAAAAGTATCCCTTGGTAATGAGAATAAAGGAAGACTATAGACAGTGTGTAGTAGTTCATGTCTATTATTTCTTTAACATGTCACGCTGTATTTCCGATAATAAAACTATCATTACTGATATAGACAGAAACCCCAGGGTAAGTCCTAAAAATTGTGATTTCTGTCTGCATTGCACCACAGGTGATGTACACACTGGTATGATGTGTGTACTCAAATAGTAGTACTATATAAATATAACGGTATATCAAGCGCCCGTGCATTGTACATCAGTGAATATTTTTCTGAGAATTTCCTCCCAAATTTTCCTAAGATAAAGAAAATGCAACAAAATTGATGATGCAGCCCTGGTTATGCTGCTGCTAATGTGATGATGTGTCGCCGTTGTTTCCAGAATAGTAATGGGAGCTAGCTATCTTTCCCTTTACTCTTCAGTAGAGTTCTACTGTCCCTAACTTTGAATCCTTAACTCATTCACCCTTGAAGACACATTTGAACTCTTCCAATTCAAGGTTGGAATAGTTCATTATGAAATTTCAGGGGTGCATTTCACTCAAAAGATCATCAATTCATGGTTTTGTTTTTGGACTTGCACGTTTTTCCTTTAAAGGTAAATGTTTGTCTACAACTTCAAAGAGGAGTTCCGTAAATGTTTGCCAGGCGTCGTTAACTTCGTCGAAAGTCTCAAAAATGGACCACGGAACCTGGTTCATATCCCTTGAAAACATTTTTTTTCTTGTTTTTTGAAATTCCTAAATTTAATTGAAGCATGTCTGTTTGTTTGAGGTTTTGTTTTGTCGCAGCTTATAGACCGCAAATATAAGGTAATGATCACTAATACCTAGTGGTAACACTCCCGCACTTTTACATGGAAAGTTAGTGTCCACGTGATCTATTAGAGTACAGGTATCCTTTGTTTCACGTGTCGGGGAGGTGATTTGTTGGTGGAAGTTATGGGGTTCCATTAAGTCTTTGAGGCGATTTGATTTTATCTGATCTACATTAGAGTCACCCATGAGAAGGACTCGACCACCTGAATGTGCTGGCAGGATGGCCCTGTCGAAAAGATATGATTTGCCTTCTTTCATTGAGAATCTTTTGCCATATTTGCTTATATATCCAGGTGAGCGATACATGACCTCTGGGCCTCTTGTACAATGATAGTTTTTTTTATCACGTGCTCTGATTAAACTTTTATCGAGTATTGCTTTTCATCTCATGTATATATTTCACATAATTTCAAACGTAAACAAACATTATGTACATAAATCTATTTCTTTAGATATGAATATCTTTGTAACATTTATTTTCCTTTTTCTCTCTAACAATATTGAAGAGGCCTATTTTTAGGTCACCTGAGCTTTGCTCAAGTGACCTATTCTAATTGCTTTCCGTCCGTCGTGCGTTAACTTTTTACATTTTCTTCAACTTCTCAAGAACCATTGGATGGATTTTTTTCAAACTTGGTCAGAATCATCCTCGGTAGATGAGGCTAACAAATTGTAAAATTGTGATTCCTACCAACCCCTGGGGCCAGGGCGGGGCCCCAAAGGGAAAATTAACCAATATTTCAAAAATCTTCTTCTCTAGACTCAGAGGTACTACATTCAATTTCAGTGCATAAAAAAAAAGATCATCAGGGGCTTTATTTAAATTGTAAATTTCAGGACCCCAAGCTATCCGTTCTCCCTTGGGGAGGGGGTAAAGTTTACTATAATTTATATAGGGAAATAACACTTTTGGGTATATTTTGACAACTTTCTGTAGGAAATTATTTTTACCTGGTGAGAAGTGTCCTTGGAGGAAGATGGTTTCAAATTGTAAAATTGAGATTCCTACCCCAACCCCAGGGGCCAGGGCGGGGCCCCAAAGGGAAAATTAACCAATATTTCAAAAATCTTCTCCAGTCTCAAGAGGTACTACAGTCATTTTCTCTGCATGGAAAGATCATCAGGGGCTTTATTTAAATTGTAAATTTCATGACCCTGAGCTATCCGTTCTCCCTTGGGGAAGGTGTAAAGTTTACTATAGTTTATATAGGGAAATACCACTTTTTTGGTATATTTTATCCATTTTCAGCAGAAAATTACTCAAACTTAGTCAGAATCATCTTTGGTGAATGAGTGTATTTCTGCCCGATCCCTAGGGGCTAGGGCGGGGCCCCAAAGGGAACATTTACCAATATTTACAAATTCTTATCCTTTGATGACATGAACTTTTGTATTTCACTTAGTTTACATGTTGATTTCCACATCACATCTAAACAATAAAATAAAGCTACCAGTACCTATGATATATCTCAGGTGACTGCTAAGGCCCTTGGGATTTGCTTGTTGTCCAATCCTTTTGTTAATTTTGTTGAAATGAAAATTATGTCTATAATATTATTAGCTCACCTTGCCCAAAGGGCCAAGTGAGCTTATGCTGTGGTGCGGCGTCCGTCGTCTGTCTGTCGACCGTCGTCCGTCCGGCGTCAATATTTTACTTTAAACAACTTCTTCTTAAGGACCAAAAGGCTTAGGGTGATGATATTTGGCCAGAAACAAACTGGGATGAAGGGCTACCAAATTTGTTCAAATAAATGACCTTTACTCATTTTCAAGGTCACGGGTCAAATATGTTAAAAACTTTAAACAACTTCTTCTGAATAACCAAAATGCCCAGGTTGATGATATTTTGCCAGTAACATGCTAGGACGAAGGGCTACCAAGTTTGTTCAAATGGATGACATTTACGTATGTTCAAGGTCACAGGGGTCAAATATGTTAAAAACTTTAGACAACTTCTTCTGAATAACCAAAATGCCCAGGGTGATGATATTTGGCCAGAAGTTTGTTCAAATGAATGACCTTCACTTATATTCAAGGTAACCAGGGTCAATTGTCTTAAAAACCTTTAAACAGCTTCTGATGAATAACAAAGAGGCCTAGGATAATGATATTTAGTCAGTAATTTGCTGGGATGAAGGGCTACAAAGTTTGTTCAAATGAATGACCTTTACCTATATTCAAGGTCACAGGGGTCAAATATGTTTAAAACCTTTAAACAACTTCTCAATAATTAAGAGGCAAAGGATAATGATATTTGGCCAGTAACATGCTGTGATGAAGGGATACCAACTTTGTTAAAATGAATGACCTTGCCTTATATTCAAGGTCACAGGTATCAAATATGCTTGAAACATTTAAACAACTTCTCAATTACAAAAAAAGTCCTAGGATGATGAATTCTGACCAGTAGCATGCTTGGATAAAGGTCTACCAACTTTGTTCAATTGAATGACCTTGCCTTATATTCAAGGTTACAGGCGTCAAATATGTTTAAAACTTTAAATGATTCGTTCTGTATAACCAACAGGTCCAGGGTGAATGATATTTTACCAGAAGCATGCTGGGTTGGAGGGTTGGAAGACAATATACTCTGTTCAACTTAATGTTCTTGTTTGACATTCTAGGTCACAGGCGTCTTATGTTTAAATCTTTTAATAGGTTATAATGCATTAAACACTGATATTCTGCCTGTAGCTGTATTTTAGTCCACTTTTAAGATTACAAGGATGAGATTAATACCAGGTGAGCGATTCTGGCCCATTGGGCCTCTTGTTTTTTTAAACCATTCTGAGTGGATTCAATCGACATTATGTCCCTGATGCATCCAGTACTATCTCACTAGGGTTCAAAGTTCAAAAAGTCCAAAACGTTTCCAAACACCTCTGCACCAACTGAGCTATCATTCACGGCATAACTGATCTGAAGCCGTTTTAATTTCAATGAATATGTATGTTTGATTCGAATGATTTACCAGTTTATTGATCTTCAACTGGGTTACTAAAATACTTTTATGCGAATCTGGGAGTGAATAGAATGTTATCTGCTGACATTAAATCATTCGATATCGCATGATTCGTATTTAATGATTTGTAAATCGATTTATAATACGTTGAAATCGAGGCTGCTCTGTAAATGATAAAGGTGCTAGGCCTGGACCGCGATTGTTCGGGGTTTGTGACACCCTATTTATTTGCCATTACGTTACATAGATATAACCAGTTAATATTAATTTATTAACAGTTGTACAAAGCTTCAATGTACTTCAGGAAACATGAATAAGTCTGTGTATGTTATACAGTATAAACTTAAAGGGACACGTGCTGTATATCTCATACCCAGGAAACGGGGAAATTAGTGCTATACATGCTTAAATAGACCAAATAGTTAAGATATTTGCGTGGCCTTACTGTCAACTTTGTTGTATATGGACATATTTTTTGGGGTTAATGTATACACTGCCGAAATGATCACATGGTCCGTCACGTGGCAATTCTGTCACAGCAAAACTGGAAACCGAGGTGTATGTAAACAAAGACACGATTCATAATTCAATTTATTTCCGTAAGTTTATCAACTTATACAATTTGTATTTGTACAACAAGAAATAATTTCATATAATTGGTCATTCATCACAGCAAAAACAACATCGTCGAAATCATTATTGTCATCACTTTTATCATCATCATCATCATCATCATCATCATAATAATCTACATCATCGACTACATCTACATCATAATTATCATCATAATCATCAATGCCTTAAAAATCATCATGTTCCTTTAAAAATCATCATCACGTTCCTCTTAAAAAGCATCATCATGTTCCTTTAAAAATCATCATCACGTTCCTCTTAAAAATCATCATCATGTTCCTCTTAAAAATCATCATGTTCCTCTTAAAATTCATCATCATGTTCCTCTTAAAAATCAGCATCATGTTCCTCTTAAAAATCATCATCATGTTCTTCTTAAATATCATCATGGTCCTCTTAAAAATCATCATGTTCCTCTTAAAAATCAGCATCATGTTCCTCTTAAAAATCAGCATAATGTTCCTCTTAAAAATCAGCATCACGTTCCTCTTAAAAATCAGCATCATGTTCCTCTAAAAAATCAGCATCATGTTCCTCTTAAAAATCAGCATAATGTTGCTCTTAAAAATCAGCATAATGTTGCTCTTAAAAATCAGCATAATGTTCCTCTTAAAGATCAGCATA